TCTCATTTATTATTTATTACTGTTACTTGGCTTCTTCTTAAAAACTAATTTGCTGTTTTTCAAACTTAGCAAGACCTAATAACTGCCATCTTCTATTGGTTAAAGAACATATCATATAAATGTGTTATATATAAATATATTTTGTTGGTCCATATTAGTCTGTTTCTTTTGAAAATATTTACTTTGGTACTGTACTTTCAACTTAATTTTGTATTTCTAAAATGTTCGTTTTATCTGTAATTAAAAAAAAAGAACAATCATTACGATCCTTAGTTTCAATTTTATTTTTAATCTCTTTTYCTATTACAATTTTAACATGACACTACGTTTAATATATTTATTGAAATATAACCATGACTTTATAATAAAGGATTTTTTATTTTTGTAGAATTTGTGTTAAAAGGTTGAAAATAGAGACCATCACTTTTTAAACTATAGGAACTAAAATAAATATTTTGGAAATATAYGAACTAAAATGAACAAAAGTCGAAACTACAAAAACAAAAATGAACATTTTGAAAGTATAGGAATCAAAATGAACAAAAGTATGGAGACCAAAAGAATATTTTAACCACGAATTAAGTTAACATGGGAGTTATGATTTGAAATTCCAATATTTTAATCGAGAATATGTTTTTAATCGAGAATATGTCTTGACAGCTCAAATTCTACACATTTTACATTTATTTGTGGATTTTGGTCTAATACTATTTTTTTTAAGTAAAAATAATAGGGATTAATATATTTTTTTTCGAAACAAACATTCTGGCTGAGCTATGTTCGCTTTGGCAAAAAATATGTATAGGAACGGAAAAGGTTTTTTTTTTCTTTTTTACAATAAAGAATGGAAAAGCTTTTATACGAAGCTTTCATTTAGTTTAGGTTCAAAAGACCTGTGAATATGAGTTATAAGATTATTCATTACAAAATTGTGAATTAAAATTGTTTCACTGAGTGGTAGGTTGGAAAAATATATAATAAATCCACCAACGTTCATTTCTTGCCTTTGTTAACTTTATTTTAAGTGGGGGCAGTTGACCAATTACATTAAGGATTATATATATTTTTGGCCAATGATTTGAGTCAAACTTTGACCTTGAGCGAGAAAAAACTTAAATGACCGTCTAAAAATTTGACAACTCTTTAATGTTTTGAAAAACGAAAGAAAAAAATTATCAAAAATTTAATAATAATAAATAAATATTATTTATTGATGAGTAAGTATCTCAGTATTATTCCTTAAAAACCCTCGCCAAAAAGACAAAAGCACCGAAATATTTTGGTTTATAAATCAACTTTATCATTCCCTTAAAAGCTTTTGATTTAAAAGGTCAAGAAGCCAAATAACCTTATTTTTTTTTTTTTGTATTAAAGATATGTTGTAGAGTACTTGGAAAATGTCACAATAATATATATATATATATATATATATATATATATATATATATAAATATATATTCCTTCCTTGTATCTATATATCACATGTGGATGGGTCCCTTTGGTGTCTTGTTTATGTGTGTTGTACCTAAAAAGAAAAACTATTTGTAGCCATGAGGATCACATTTATTGGGAAATTTTCTAATGGGGTATTCTCATAGATTGATAGCTATATTAGCAATATTTAAGAATAATGTAGCGTTCTTGCAATAACATAGCGTATCAATTAATCGGGTATCTAAATGTAAATTGATGAAATAAGTACAATTGAAGTATTATAAATTTTTTCCATTTATTAAGACTATCGATACGTAATGTTCATAGAGAAATCTCTGATCAACTTTCGAACAAGATCTATTTTGCATCATATGAAGACTATATATGTATAGATGTATGTATGTGTGTGTCTATATATATAATATATTGTACATTGGAAGTGGGGGATTCAAACTCACGACGTTCTTATTGGACATAGGTACTTTAACCTGCTATGCTATACTCAGGTTAGCTGATATATATATATATATATATATATATATATATATTAATTATATTGAGAGTGGAGGATTCGAACTCACGATCTTCTGATCAGATATAAGTACTTTAATTCGTCATTCTATGCTTGGATCAGCTGATATTTTTATATATTAGATTGAGAAACAGTGAGAATTAATTAAAATACAACATTGCGGAGCCCCCATGCAAGAAAAAAATGTGGAGGAAATTTTAGGTTTAGGAACAAAGACAAAAGAGATGTGATAGTAATGTTGGTGAAACTCATGTTTTCATGGCTGTGATTGACATGCTATGTTTTCTACTTGTTGGAAAACTTCATGTGCATTTATTGTCATTTTGTTTCAAATTATTAAATTCTCTCTCTCTCTCTCTGTTTTTACTTCGTAATAAAAAGGTAACTCCAGTTTTATTTTTACTGTTACTAATGAAAATTTTAAACCGAATCAACTTACAAGTTGTCAAATGAAATTAATGGTTGTTTGGAACTTAGCTAGAAAAGCTGGAAATTTGAGTTAAATGTTTCAAGAACATAACCACTTAAAGTAATAAAGGATCATATGGCATAGTTGTTAGTAATGATTCTACTTTTTGCCATCTTTACGATTCCSATATTTTAAAATTTTCAATTTAGTCCCTGTGATTTGCGATTTGTTTCAATTTGGTTCTTGTGGTTTTAAAAGTTTTAATTTGATTCCTATGGTTTGGTTAAACCTCACAAATCATCACTAAATTATCATTTATTCACCTGAAAACCTCCACCTATTTCCTTCTATTTTATACTCCGCCTTAAACGCCACATAAAATAATGTGCTAATATGACGATGACAGGGATTCTTTATGTGATTTGAATGAACCTAGAAACTTCTAAAATCACACATCAAATTGAAACAAAGCCCAAATTACAGGCACTCAATTGAAAATTTAAAACCGCATGAATCTAATTGAAACCGAAACCATGCTCGAAAGGTAAGGTCCGACTTTGTAATTTAACCCGTAATAAAATATTGGGTGGTTAGGTTTTTCTTCATATATACAAATAAATTAAAGGGTGCATGTCTCTGTAAAGGGAATTTCAAGGTGTAGAAAGCAAGAAATTAGGGCAATTACTAGGCTATTGTGTTTGTCAATTAGATGGTAGGTGAAGAAATGAGCTGGTTTGTCTCCCTTGAATATGATACTTATCCACATAATTCATCAAAATTATTTAGAAAAATAAAAAATTCATCCATGGCTGCACATGTTCTCCATTGACCCTCCATAGCCATGCAGCTTCATTCAACTAATCCAACAAGATTATGATACTTAAACCACCATTTTTTATGTCAATTTCTAGACTCTATCAATTCAAGAATAAACTTTATACAATCATTCAAAACTTGTTGCAAAGTTTTTTTTCTTTTTAATGATTCAATCCCATCACATTTGAGGCAGTGGTGGGAAGAACATGGAACCACAAGAATCCTTCCTTGTCACCAAATCTAGCCATCTGTTTATTTGTTTGGAATTATTCTTAAAATTGAAAGCGTCATATCAAGCATTTCAAGGCTTGTCGGAAAATTATCATGATGGTCTTTGGGTTTATTATAGACTTATTAGATATCTTTTAAGATTTAATACCTCTTAAGATTTAAAAATTTACTAGACATTAGATTGAAAGTTTATAAATCTATTGGATCCGGTCAAGATCTTATTATACACCACGACAATTTAACCAAAGAAAATTTGTCTGAACACATTTTCACTTTTTTCCCTAAACAAACTTTGTTTGAACACAGTTCCAAACAAGTCCCTAGGGACAGTGTGGACGATGCTTTCCATATAGAAATCAGCTGAATATACAGAATGTACCTCAAACTAAATGGTTCAAAACCATGATCTTCCAACTACATCATCATCGTTTTCATCATCTTCGTCGGCGTTCGATACACCCCCATGACATATGTCGTCGTCGTCACTTACATCGGATTCGTCCTCAGCATCTACGCTAGAACTCGTGAGGGCATTGTCGTATGAGTTCCAATTGGGAGGGAAGGTCTTCTGCAAGGCTTCAGTAATCTCTCCACCAGTTCTCTCAATCTTGCGTAAACATTTGGACCAGTGAACTGCTGTCCCCATATCCACTGTTAGTCCAGAATCAACCATCTCTCTGCAAACAGAGAGAATGCCGGGATAAATGGAACCTTCTGCAGCAACGGTAGCCCTCGAAAGTAACGACGTCATCAGACAATGGTAAACAGCTTTGTCTGGTTTGAGCCCAGATAGCTTCATCTCTTCAAAGCATGATAATGCATTCTCTGGTAATGAAGCACGGGCCCACCCGTGAATCAGTGTAGTATACGTTTTAACATTAGGCTTCACTCCTACAGATCTCATTTCTTCAATTGTTTTCGTTGCTCTCTGGAAAATGGTTGACGGGTTAGAATTTGGAATATACCCCAAGAATATCAGTTAAATCAAGGTTTAATGATGATGTACCAAAAAAAAACACAAGTCAAAGAAAGTTAAACAATCTTTAGAAACCGACACCCAAAGACATGAAATCGAGTCATAAACCACCACACTTTCTCCCATAGACTTTCAAAGCCTTCTAAAAGTAGTTCTATTTCTCTCTCTCAAGCCAGGTTCTATAAGATAGCAAAAACTAGAGCCCTTTTTTAATTTCAAGACTGTTTCCCTCATACAGGCTATTTTTTTTAGTGAACTTCTCTTCTTTTTTGTATAGCCCATTAGTATTTTTTCTCACTTGTCATAAGGAAAGCTTGGTTTTCTTCCATAGGAGTAGGACCATTCAAGTAAGTAGTCCAAATATATTGAGGTGAAACCAATCTAAATGCTTTTTTTTCTAATACTTTCAGAAATTAATTCAGGCAAAAACGAGAAATGATATAATTCCTGATAAGACAAGTTCGGTAACTTAAATACAGATGAAAAGTGTTCTAAGCAAATAAAATCGCCTCTTTAGGCTACCATTATACCGCGTCATCATTGTATCAACTATTGGATGTAGGGAAAAAAAAAGGATTTGCTATTTGATCAGAGATACCTGCATATCTCCAGCCTTGGAGCAAGCATTTATGAAGGATGTGTACGTATGGATGTCAGGTTGAACCCCCTCTCTTTTCATTTGTTGCATTAGATCAGCTGCCTCCCAAACATCGCCTCGTCGAGCCCATCTATATGGAAAAGTGTATATAAATAATTAGTAGGCATGTGACAGAGAATTCAATCCAAAGAGAATTACAAGAGAGGATCATCAGAATAATTGAAAAAAAAAAAACATGTAACAAGTGCAATATAAGATGACATACCCATCAATCAAAATGTTATAAATGAAGGTGTTTCTCGGTATTTTTTGAGCACTCATTTCCTTGGTGACTGCCAATGCACTCTGCATCCTGCCTGATTTGCAACATGCTTTTAGCAACGCTTCATATGTATAAACATCAAGCTCCAGGCCCTCACTCCTCAGTTTCGTGAAGTACGCGAATGCTTTTCCTGTATCACCTAAAGAAGCATAACCATGCATGATGGTTGTGTATGTGTGTTCATTTGGACTTACACCGGAAAGGGTCATCTCATCCAGTATTTCAACAGCCTTCTCCATCTGGAAGAAGATGATTCCCCAATAAGTGAACTACTACTTCTGAAATTATGGATCAGTAATAATACAATAAAATGAAGGAAAAAAGAAACTCCAAAGGGAGCGTTTGAAAAAACTACAGCAATTTGCGTGCAGATGGAGTCAGAATCCCACAGAGGTGTGGCAGATTTCATGTATTTTTTTTCTAAGTTTTGGGGCCACCATTTTAAGAATATATTTGTGATCTTATGGCTTAATACTACTACTGGAGAAATTTGGTAGGAGCTATGGTTAGAAAGAATTTCCAAGGCATTGAATGTTTCATAAGAAAAAGTTGGGAGACCTACCTTACGCTTCTCAACAAGACCGAGAATCAGAGCATTATAAGTGTGCACAGTCGGAATGCATCCAGACATCCGCATCATATCGAATACATCTAGGGCTTTCCTCATCTCCCCTTTCCTAGCAAAACCATGAATGATGGGCATAAATGTTCGAGTTGTAGGTCGGTGCCTCTGCTTCTGCATTTCCTTGACAGTACAAATGGCACGATCCATCTTCCCCATCCCACAGAATGCCGTGATAATATTATTATAGAGTACTACGTCAGGCTTGATACCATCTCTTATCAAATCCTCAAAAATGGCGAAAGCATTTGCCCAATCTTTCAACTTCAAGAACCCATTGATCAACATGGAGTAGGTCTTCATATTGTGTTTTATGCCAGCATGCTCCATTTCTTTGCTAACTTCCAAAGCTTTAGCAACTTTTCCGAGCTGGGAAAATTATTAAAGAAGGGTAAAAGATAATCAAAGAGAATATGCAATCTTATGCATGCAAGAATTTGTGTAACATTGGCATTTGTAATGACAGGCGTCATTATCTTCAAAATCAGGATCTTGAAAGAGACATGGGGAAATGAGACCAACCAAACTCACTCACTCAGCTTTGAGTGTCCTAATGAAGTACTAAAAGTCCAAATCTATCAACGGGTCAAGAAACATTTCCAAGAAAAATGAAACCAGACAAAATTGCAGTAGTTAGTTATCTTCATTCGTCCCTTCTTATTCCTCCAAATAAATATCAGTAGTAAACATGTCCATCTTTAGAGTACAGAGTACTCTATGTCATATAATAAAAAGAAAAGTGATGAGAGACCCAAAAGAGGAAGAGAGAAGACAGAGAAAACAGAGAGCAGGTAGAAACTAATGCTACACTTCATTCCCTTCTAGAGAATCAGAAAAATTATCATATAAAGAAAACAAGAATATGATAGATAATATACGTAATTTAAAAAAAAAAAATTTACCTTTGTATAAAGATTAATGAGACATCCATAAGTAATGACTGAAGGGTTCAGACCACATTCCTGCATCATAGTTAATGGATGTATGAGAATTTCAAATGAAATGGAACGTTTGGGTAGAAAGGAACTCACGCTCTTTTGAAGACAAAGCTAAGTCTTGGGATTATTTTTGTAATAGTATGCAGGTTTTAGCTTCTCGGTGGTGCATAAGAAACAAGAAATTCTTTTGTAATCATAGTCTCTCTTTATTTTACAAAATTGGAGAGCTTTTATGTGATTAATTTGTTTTTTTGGAGGGGGCTGCCTTGGCCCATGTCCGTAGACTGTTCTGCTCTTTTGTTCTTTCTAATGAAATATTTCTTATCCAAAAAAAAAAAAGAATTTCAAATGAAATGCAATTAAAACTGAAAACAAAATAATTTCACGGACATTTGATTCACTGTATAAATGCACTTAGACCACCCCAAAGGCTATGTACCAACCAAGATACAGAATGCTCGGCATGGACTCAAATAAACAACTGCAACCCTATCAAAACTTGGTTTGATAGCACTCTTCGTTGAATTTTTTCTTCCTTTTTCAGATTTCAGTTCAAATCATTATTACGAACTCGTCCCACAAAATTTCTTGTTGTCACCTATTTTCCAACTCACAAGGATTCAAGTCAGAAATGATAATATTAACACCCATTATGTACCTTAAATCTCTCGAACACAAGCAGACATTTGTCCTCATCACCAATCATTGTATAACCATCCATCATGGTGTGATATATGTCAATTGGAGCATCTATGCCTTCTTCTTCCATTTGCCTCACCAAAGCTTCAGCTCTTTCCATATTGCATGTTTGACTGTAGTCAAAACAAACTAATAAATGAAATGGTATTTCCCTTGTGTAATACTAGCAAATATTCCAAAAACAAACAAACACTCAACTTACCAGTAGGCATATATAATATTCCCATAAATGATTGCATTCAATGAGGAGTGTTTCTCTTTGGCCTCCTGAAACCAGTGATCTGCAGATCTTCCACGATAAATGCAAATGTAATACAATTTAGATCAAAAGATGCAAATGGCTCGTAGATATGAAGACAGAGAAAAGAAACTGAGAGAACAAACTCTAAAAGACTAGATAATACAGAAATATTTCATCTACTTCCTACATAAACTTAAATAGACAATAATCAAGGATTGAATGTTCATGAGGTCTGGCAAGACATGTAACCCTCTTTTTTGGAACAAGAGACAGGTTAACTGGTGCAATTGGCCATTTCATACTTGTAGGTTTCACTAATCATCAATGGAAACAAATGGCAAGCAAATCAATCAATGGTAAGGAAGTAACACTACCCAGTTTGTTTTTCGAAAAAATAAAGGGCCAAATTTAAGTTTTTTCTTTGTACCATGAAATGTAGCAATGATAATTACTTACTCTGCATTTCTCATTTTAGCAAATCCGCCCACAAGAATGCTGTAAGTTACCAAACTCATTTCTATTCCTTCTTCTTTCATTTTCCTAACACAAGATAATGCTTCTTCCATGTCTCTACCAACTGCATAAGCATGAATAAGGCTGCACATCATTTAAAGCTTACTGTTATTGTAAGATGATGAAACACTCAACACAAAATTAAACTTAAAAATGTACTGTATATATATTTTTGGCAATGAAATTCAGAAATCTACCATAGGTAAAGATATTTGAAGCATAAGCATACTTAATTGACATTCTATACAAATCAATCGAACTGTAACCATTCACAACTGAATTGTGGCATTTGTGTTAATAAATCAAGCAAAAATATTTTGTTAATATTGAGATCAAATTAAAATAGAAGGAAAGAAACTATTTAGGAATAGTTATTACTTTGTGTAGACATGAGACGTGGGTTCTATTCCCCTAGCTCGCATCTTTTCAAAGGTCTCACGTGCACGGTGCATATCACCTCTTCTTGCGTAGTAGTTCACCATCAAACCATACTCTTTCCTAGAAGGCTTAATTATAGTAGAATTCACCCCCAAAGCAACAAAAAAAAGATAAAAACAATTAATATGAAAATGCCCAAATTCAGTCTTTTTATGAATAAAATTCAGCATATGGTAAATATGACATATGTTTGAAATTGCATGCATTTAGTGCACATGAATGTGTCACTGTGTGTGCACACACACACATTCGAACAAATGAACACAAGTAGGCATGGTGATACTTTTTTATATCAACATTTACATACTCAGCTTGTTTATAATGCTCAAAACAAATTGCAAAGTTAACGAGAAATTCATAATTATGTCAGTTACAAGGTAAAACAATGCATACCTGGAAAATCCATTCTAAAAGCATTCATACATTTGTTGTGAAGTAACAGATTAAAGTGCCTATACCATTGAAGTTTACATCTGTTTCTGCCAACCACACTAACTAATATACCTTTTTTTAATGAAAAACCAAGCTTTCATTAGCATAAATGAAAATAATACAAATGTGGAATAAAAACAGTATCCGTACTCGTAATGAGTGAACGTTTCAATCACAATATTATATTACTACCACGGAGCTATCTAACCGAACATAGATTAAATAACTACGAAAGAATGCAACTCGGGGATGGAAACATGGTACAACAGAAGCCCACAGCCTATCACCCAAAGCTTAGTTGGCAATATTGGCTATAACTATGGTAATTGAAGTTATTTGATTTAAAGTAGTATACAATGAATAGAGTTGAGGTTCTGATTAAGAGTATAAATATAACGTGAGAAACAATCCTAGGGAATATTTGACTTGCAATATCATCAAGCATCATATTGTAACAATTTAATCTATTCTCATCTATATTACGAGAATTCGCATAACTCAGAACCCGCTAAGGAATTCAAGAATGTACCTTCTTGATCCTCTCGAACGCCCAGACAACCGCCTGCCAGTTCTCTGGCTCTGTCTCAATAACCTTGCGAAAGCCATTCCGTGCTTTATCTCTCTCTTCATGCCATTGGGAACGATACTCGACGCTGTCGTCTCCCTCCATCCATCTCGCCCTCTCCTCCGTCTTCTCCTTCAACCTCCTCCCATCGTCCAATTTCACAGTCAGAACCCTTCCGTGAAACTCCACCCCGTCAAACTCAACGGCTTTCATGGCCGATTTGGCTGCAGTTAACCCGTCGTATATCACGAATCCGTACCCCGCATTTCTTTCCGTGGCATCGTGACCCTTAATCAATATTACATTCTTCACAGGACCGAACTGTCGGAAGAACTCTTGGAGCTCGTGCTTCTTGATCCAACTCGGTAAGTTCCCGACAAAAATCTTACCCTCTTGACGGAGTTCAATTTCTCCCCGCCCCTTACTCGACGAATTCTCGGTTACAATCTCTTCAACTTCATTTTCATCTTCGTCCGATGCCTCGGAAGTCGGGGGAGGCGGTGGAGAGAGCTTGCTGGAGAGCCAGAGCTTGTTGGAGAGCGAGTAGGAAACATGGGGCGGCGGCGGTGGCGGTGGCGGTGGCGGCGGAGGAAGAACGGGAACATAGGCGGAGCCGACCAGATTCTTGAGAGGGTTAGAGGGGACTTTGGAGGTGGTGCGTTTAGGGGAGGAAGTGGTTTTTAGGGTTTGGGGGCGACGGATGCGGCCGGAGAGCGAGGGGGTTGAGCTGGAGGAATCGTCGGAATCGGAACGAGGAGAAGGCGAATGATGGGGCGGCGGCAGCGGCGGCTTCAGTGAGAAAATAATGACGGCGGAAGAAGGATGAGAATGGTGGCGGCGGCGATGTGGGAGGACGGCGGAGAAACAGGCGGAGGAAGTGGTGGTGGTGGTGTTTGAGAGTGAGCGAGCATCCATTATCTTTATCTTCTTTAGCCTCTGCTTCGTTTCATGGTCCTGACGAGTTCAGAGTGTCAAACGAACCAACCGTGTAAATTGGATATTTTCCCAGAAAAAGAAAATTACCATTAAATTACACCCAAACAATTATTTCCCCAAAAAGAAATCACTTTTTTATATCTATATATTTACTTGTTACAATTTATATATTTCAAAGTGTTTTAAAAACCTAACCCACTTCCAAACAAAATTATCAACTTCTAGAAATATATAAATGTCTTCATTGTTGATGTTGCCAACAAAAAATATTTTCTCATTTTCAATTAATAAAATATTGATTTTTTTACAATAAGATTCGAATTCACACTTTTTTTTATCAATTATATTTAATTAATTCAAATTTGTACTTAGAAGAACATGCAAATCTCAAAGTTCAAGCTCAGGAGACATCAAAGATTTTCTATATTAAAAAATGTTCGAACTTAAGATCTCTAAGTTAGTGTGATTAAAACATCTTAAATATTTACCAACGAGGCAACCTTATAGGCGCCGTTAATACTTAAATTTTATCATTTAAAAATTAGAGAAATATTCATGTGTTGGATAACGCATAAATTAGCAATTCATTATTTAAAAAAATAAATCATCTATCAAAGGGGAAATTAACAACAATAACCTTCAAAAGTTTTTGGGAGGCTCAAATCACACCTCTTTTACCCAAATGACCCACTTTAATATTTAATTGAATTAAAATGGAAAGGAAATTACACTCTTACCCCTATGTTCAAAAACCAAACCGTTCATCCATTTGTCTTCTCCTTCAAATTTCTTCTTCGTTTCCCTTTGAGATAAGTTTGATTTCTGTTAATTTTTGTTATTTTCCATTGATTTGAATGTTAGGGTTTTGATTTTCATTGTTGTTGAGTAGTTGAACGTTAGGTTTTTTCATCGATTCCGTTTTCCGGTGTTTTTTGAATGAACGAAAACATGAATAAAATTACATCGATTTAGGTTTCTTTCTCGTGTATTTCATTTTTTCAAAAAATAGGAAGATTGTTTACTCTTTGTTTCGTTCATTGTTTTTGGTTCTTTAGTGTATTTTCTATGAAATTGAGTTATGTGGTCTCTGTGTGTGAGGATTGTTTGAGAAATATTTGTGGTGGAGGTTGAAGAAGAAGGGTGAACTCAGGCGAAGTGGGATAGATCTCGTGCGAGGTTGAAGAAATTCCAAACCTAGCTCGAGGTTTCTAAGCCTCTGTCCAATTTCTCGGGAACTACCTCGAGCGAGGTTGGTCCAAGGGAATTCAAATACACACAACCTCACGTGACATTTGTGCTCTCTGTTATTTTTCTCGGGTTCGACCTCGGGTGAGGTCAAGCCCGAGATATTCGAAAGAGGCTGAACCTCGAGGTTGAGCCCGAGGTTGAACATATTTTGAATACCTCGGGCTCAAACTCGATCAAGGTTGTCCCGGGAAATTTTCCAGAGCGTCCAAAACCTTCCTAAATCCTAAACCACACTCAAGGTTACTCCCCACTTCGTCTGAGTTCAGTCTTATTCAACCTCCCATCACCTCATCCTCCGACATTTCAACAAACATGACATCACCACCACAACACAGAAGAACCACAAAGAGCAAAAAATAAAGAACAAACAAATAAAGTAGATTTCCTTTCCCAAAAATGAAATCCAAGCCGATGGAAAACTAAATTGATGGTTTATCATTCACGTATTTCTTCATCCAAGCACTCGAAAACAGAATCGACGGAAAAAAAGATCATTAACTCCTCAGACGCAATCAAAAACCAAGTTATAATCTTCAAAATCGATCGCCCACTATATGAAATCGAACTTAATTCGAAGTTTTAATCTTAAGATTAATTTTCTTTGCCGGAGGAATTAGCAATGGGAGAACAAGCAGAGAAGAAATCTCGAAGAGTTTCTTTTTTGAATGGAGGGATATTGCTATAATATCCTTTCAATTTAAATTTAATTAAATATTAAAATGGATCATTTGACAGAATTAAAGAGGGTATTTGACATTTCAAAAACTCTTAAGATTGTTTGTATCAATGTCCCGAAAATTTGCAGCGGTGGTAGTCAGCGGCAAAATAGACACTCAGTTTCACTAATGAATATTAGCATCAAACACCGTTATAGGACTCCTCACTTTGCGTTCGCCATCGTCCCACACCAACGAGGCCGAAACAACGCTCCCACCGCCGATTCTCCCTTCAACCCTAAGCTTAAAGCTCCGTTCCTCTCCCAAAGCCTCGAATCGAAGAACGGAAGGCTTCACCGTAATCTTAAGCTTCTTCGAAGGGTTAAAAATGGAGGCTCTGTACGTCGAATACGCCGACCCGACATTGGTGACCCTTCTTCTGTAAGTTTCCCTGATGGGTTTCGAGATGGCCGTGGAGAGAGCAAACGAAGGATAGTTCAGGTCGAAAACCGTACTGCTACTGCCGGAATTGTTGGGAGAACAAGTTGTATTGTCGACGGAGACTCGCCGGAGCAACTCGGTGCTGTAGCCTTGGCCGCACAGGAACTTTACGTAGTCGGACTCGGAAGCGTTGTAGATTGGCCCGGGATTGGCTGCGCCCACTGGGTTTATGGGGCCCGAGCCATATGCCAGCTCTCCGCCTGGGCTCAGTCTAGGGCTCATTGGAAATGCTGCATATGGAGTTAAGATAGGTTAATTTTCTTTTTGGAAAAGAAAAATAATTTCAACGTATATCTTCTACGGATCACCTTAAATTTCTTACGGAGAGAGAAATGTATAAAATACCAAATATTATCTTCGCGGCCATTCAATAAATAAAAATTGATAATTTATTATTAGAAAATACTTGACTTTCTGGTAGTGGGAAATAATCTTTATCTTACCACCTATCATGTTTGACAACAAAGAGAAATAAAAAATATATATTTTGGTCCTTAACGATAAGAATCAAATATTATCCTTCTCCACCGATAAAAATTTGATAATTCATTATTTTCTTAAAAAAAATTCATATTTTTATATTTCTCCCACTTAGTTATCAAATATTTAGTGGTTGCAAAGGCAAGACTGCCTTTTATTTATTAAGGAGCCAAATATTTTTCAAAAATAAATGTAAAAATAGAGATTATTTGTCAATTTTTCAATGGTGGTGAAGACGAAATCGTCAAGTATTTTCCTTAGCTCCCAAGTATTTTACTTTAAAATATTGTTTTTCTAGAAACATCTACCTTAGTACCATCTAGAAATTAAAAATACTTAGATATTTACTATTACATTATGTGTCTTTATTTGAGAAATAAGAAATAAAAGTTTTATTTTTTCAAATTTTTATAAGTATCTTTGTATCGATCAAAAATTTAACATTTCTTCATTCATTTGAAAAAGACAAAAAATACTTTCATTGCACCTAGTTAATAAAAAAATATTTAAAAACTTTAATCAAGCAATATTTTTTGTTGATATATATATAATATATGAAATGAGAAAACATTCAAAATAATACGTAACTTTGTGTACTATGTCAAAGTGAGCATAGCTCACTATAATCGACATATACCTCTAATCAATAGGTTGTGAGTTCGAATCATTTTTCCAACATGTTGTACTAAAAGAAAATCTTTGAAATATTATCATTAATCTTGTGGATCTATAACTAGTTAAGTTAAGACTGTATACTTTCGACCAAAAAGATCGTTGATCACCGGTTGTCATGAGAGCGGATCTAATTGCAGCAGGAGACCAAGAAGGGTGAAATGACTTGAAATATGCGGCTGCAGCGGTGGCGTGTCCCCGACATTATATTATAAAGAACCTTTTTAGTGTCTTCTTCAGCTACGGAGGGTGAAGCTGTCAGTGGAAACGCCGCCAGGATTTGAACTCCGGCTGTGCAATGCAAGTTCACACCCCAAACAAATAATTTAAGGTAAAAAAAATGTTATTTTATTTCGTGTAGTTTCGAAATATTTGTTTTAATCTCTTAATTGTATCTGTACACTCATTTTTTGTTATCACAATTTCGACACAACATAATACTCGATGCATTTTTTGAAATGTAACTAAAATTTTCGTAATGCATAGAATTTGTATTAAAATGTTGCAAATGGATATCAAAATTGTTAAAGTACATATACCAAAACGAACTTTGTAAAAGTATGTGGACTAAAATGAACGCAAGTTGAGAGTGCATTTATTAAAATGAATATTTTAAAATTATATGAACTAAAATTAACCAAAATTAAAAAAAGGGTTAAAATAATATTTTAATCTTAACACAGTTACCTTGAGAATGTTGGGGATTGAGAATGTAATTATATAAATTAATTTATTAAAATGAATATTTTAAATGTATGTGGATTTATTTTTTAAGGAATTGAAAGTTTCAAACTTTATGTCTTTAAGTTTGACGAAACAAATTCAATATCACAGATTATCTTTCAACCGTGTACTTTTTTACCCCACTCGAAATTCACCTATTTTCTCTCTTTTTAACTCCACCAACACAGCCAAATAAAAAACATCAGCTCATAACCATGTAAATAAAATAAAAATTATATTCGGGTGACAATTTACTGCAAATATACCAATAGATTTA